GACTGCACAAGAGTTCACCAAGACGGCCTGAGAGGCGCCCAAGATCGCCCAAGAGGGGCCCAAGACGGCCCCAACAGGGGCCCAAGAGGGGGAACACGAACCGACAATTCGAGCCTTCCGCCCCGAGAGGCCTCCAGGAGGCCCCAAGAGGCCCCCAACAGAGCCCAAGAGGCCCCCAAGAGGCCCCCAACAGAGCCCAAGAGGCCCCCTAGAGGCCCCCCAGAGGCCCCACGAGGCCCCAAAGGGGCCCAAAAAGACGCCCCACGAGCACCAAACGGCACCCCAAACGGCACCCAAGAGGCCTCCAAAATTGCAAATTTTTCCTTTCTGTCCTGTCCTTCAAGAGGCCCCCGGAAGCCTCCCACGGGAATTCAAAATGAACTTCCAAGAGGCTTTTTCTCATTTCCTTTATTTTTTCTTTTTTCTTTTTTCTATCTTTCTTTTATTTTTTATTTTTTTTTTTTTTCGTATCTTTTTGATTTTTTTTTATCTTGTTTTTTTTTTATTTTTATTTTTTTTTTCATTCGTTTATTATTTTCTGTTGTTTTTTTTTTTTTTTTTTTTCTTTTCTATTTTTCTTTTTTTTTTTTTGTTTTTTTTTTCTTTATTTTTTTTTTTTCTTTTTATTTTTTTTTTTTTTTTTTCTCTTTCTTTTTATTTATTTCTTTCTTTTTTTTTTTGATTTTTTTTTTTTTTTTATTTTATGTGTTATTTTTCTTTCTATTTATTTTTGGTCTTCTTTTTTTTTTTGGCCGGCTTTGTTTTTTTTGTTTTTCGATCCACAACCCAGGCACGGCGGCGGGATGGGCCGAAGGCCACTATCGGGAACGTGAACCGAGAATCCGACATCTTCGCCCCAGGAGGCCCTCAGGAGGGGTCAAGAGGTCCCCAAGAAGCTTGGCGACAGATCACTGGTCGACCGGTCGATGAGAGCGGAGAAGGAGGAATGATGCAGAGGCAGGAGGAAACAGAGAATGTTGACCTCATTATTCATGACCGCCTTGTTGTCTCAATGCGGTCAGCACTCAACCAGCTAGAACCTAAGCGCGCCCGAAGCGCGCGCGATGGTTCTAGTATGCCAATAAATACATGCATGCATGTAGGTATATGTATGTGAATTCATATGTAGTGTTCCCAACCGTTCAGTGGTGTTGCGCCCTCGCTTTGAAAAGAGCGCCCCGCGTCCCTCCTTCTCCTCCTGTTCCTTCCTCCTTCTTCCCATCATCCTCACCATTATCACCACCATCATCATCTTCATCATCATCAGCAGCATCATCAGCAGCATCATCAGCATTATCATCATAAGCATCATCATCATCACCATCATCACCATCATCATCATCATCATCATCATCATCATCATCATCATCATCATCATCATCATCATCATCATCATCATCATCATCATCATCATCATCATCATTCTCATCATCATCATCAGCATCATCATAATCATCATCACCAGCATCATCATCATCATCAGCATCATCATCGTCATCATCGCCATTGGCTTCGGTACACCTCTCACACGTTTCGTGACCCCGTAGGGAGCTCCACCTAAGGCCCCATGGGGTGTGGCCACATGCGGCCGCCCCTCGCATTTGGGCACACCCGTCACAAGTTTCGTGGCCCTTTATGGAGGTCCACCTACGGCCCCATGGGGTGTGACCACATGCGGCTGCCACGTTCAATGCGGCACACCCCTCACGCGTTACGCGGCTCCATAGGGAGCTCCACCCAAGGCCCCAGCGGGCGTAACCACATGCGGCCGCCACATTCAATGCGGCACACTCCTCACGCGTTACGCGGCCCCATAGGGAGCTCCACCCAAGGCCCCAGTGGGTGTGGCCACTTGCGTCCGCCACGCTCATGTCGGCACACCCCTCACGCGCTTCCTGGCCCCTATGGGGCGTTCCACCTAAGGCCCCAGTGGGCGTGGCCACTTGCGTCCGCCACACTATTTTCAGCACACCCCTCGCACGTTTCGTGGCCCCATATGGAGTTGCACACCTCTCGCACGTTTCATGGCCCCATAGGGAGTTCCACTGGAGGCCCCAGTGGATGTGGCCACATGCGCCCGCCACACTCATTTCGCCGCACCCCTCACGCGCTTCGTGGCCCCTTATGGGGAGCTCCATCGAACCCCCCAGCGGCCATGTTCTCATGCGACCGCCACTCACGTTTTGGCACACCCCTCACGCGCTTCGTGGCCCCATAGGGAGCTCTGCCAAAGGCCCCAGTGGCCACGGTCGCAGGCGGCAGCCCTACCCATTTCGGCACACCGCTCACGCGTAGTCGGAGCTTCGATATAACTAGTATCTCGGAAGCCTCATGGGCCATCTTGTGCGGTCGGGTACCCACGCATGCGAGAACCTCAAACCTCTCAAAAACAATAGGGAAGTCATCGGGATATTCAGATCTCTCTGAACGTTATTGCCGTCACCTTTCAGTGACGGCTGGTACGCGCGTGTGGGCATTGCTTCTGCGTGAATCGGCTGAAGGGAAGTCAACTCATTCGCCTCCTCGGAGGCCTCTTGGGGCTTCTTGGGGGTCTCTTGGGGCCCCTTGTCGCCTCCGGGAGAGTCATGAGGCCTCATAGGCATCTCCCAACACTGGCTTAACTATACACCCTCGCGTCCTGCGGGCGGCAGCCCCTGAAACAGGCCGAAGGGATCGCGCAAGGCCGCGACGGCGCGGAGGGAGGGAGGGAGGGAGGGAGGGAGGGAGGAGGAGCAGGAGGAGGAGGAGGAGGAGGAGGAGGAGGAGGAGGAGGAGGAGCTGGCCTCGCTCGGGCAACCTCCCCTCCTCACCTGCTCCTTTTACTCCCGCCTCTCGCGCTAACCCTCACTCCACCGCACCACCCTCACAGCCTCCCCTTCCCTTCCCCCCCTTCATGTGCCTTGTCATCATCATCATCATCATCATCATCATCATCATCATCATCATCATCATCATCATCATCATCATCATCATCATCATCATCATCATCATCATCACTCATCATCACTCATCATCATCATCATCATCATCAGCATCAGCATCATCATCATCATCATCATCATCATCATCATCATCATCATCATCATCATCATCATCATCATATCATCATCACATCATCATCATCATCATCATCATCATCATCATCATCTCATCATCACCACCATCATCATCATCATCATCATCATCATCTCATCATCCTCATCATCATCATTATCATCATCATCATCATCACCTATCATCATCATCATCATCATCATCATCATCATCATCATCATCATCATCATCATCATCATCATCATCCGTGTTACCTTCTCCTCTCTCTCCACCTCTTGGCTTTTGGTTTGCCACTCCCCCCAGCGCTGCTGGGCGCGAGGGGATTCGAGGGCTTCAACCGTTTCGGGGACGCAGCCCGCAGTCCTGAATCCCGAGGGGGACAGGGAGCAGGAGGAGGATTCCCCACGGCGACGTCGCCGATGCTTCGCCGACGTCGCCGATGCATCGCGCGAGGCCGCGACGGCGCGGAGGGAGGGAGGGAGGGTGGGAGGAGGGAGGGAGGGAGGGAGGGAGGGTGGGAGGGAGGGAGGGAGGAGGGAGGGAGGGAGGGAGGGAGGGATGAGGATGACGTCGCCGGCCTCCCGCCCGACCGGCGTGGCCGCGGGGGGCCCCGCCGCCGCGGGCGCGCGGGCGCCCGGCCTCAGGCCGCCTGCAGGGCCAGCGCCTACCTCCTTGCGGACAGGGGCACGCTCGTGAAGGAGGTGTCGGGGACAATGACAGGGGGGATCAGGGGTACGTTCTGGACGCCCGAAATGGGTACTGAAAGAATGGGTTCTATGCCCAACAACAATTCCTGTTCATTCTGAACAGGACTCGCTGTCCGCGCCGCCGCGGCCTGTGTCCATTCGAGACAGGAGGCCGCCCGCCCAACAGCGACCGCTGTCGGTTCGGGACAACATTTGCTGTTGGGCATTGTACCCATTCTTTCGGTACCCATTTCGGGTGTCCAAATACGTCAGAAGCCGGGTGACGGCTGGCAAATTCGCGGCTGCTAAAACTGAGCTCCAGGAACGTGTTTTTATTTCTTCCTGGAAGCAGCCCGTTCATTAGTTAGTGCGCTGAGTTTGATTCCAGGAATTTGTTTTTTCCTTCCGGGAAGACCGTTTTAGCAGCCACGGATTTGACAGTCTTCGCCCAGCTTCCAAGTTCGGTAGGTTCATGCCGCGAGGGCGCGCCGGAGACGCCGGCGAAGACAAGCAAGGTTGAGCTCCGCACGGTCGGACGACGTGGGAGCACCGAGGGATATGGTACAACGCCACAGGACCCGACGAGATTCAACCTGGAACGATCGGGGCCGCGATCGGTGCAAGGTCGAACGATCGGCGCGGTGTCAGAAGCCTTTGCGCGCGCCGACGCCGCGCGAACTCCCCGTAGTCGGGCGCGGCAAAGATGGGGGTGAAGACTAGGGGGAGGGTGGATATCATGGCAGGGGCCATGATATTCCCCTAGATTTCATGGCGCCTCTTATTTCATTGCGCCCTCTTGTTATTATGATTCGCGCCCCCCTCTTGGACGCCCCCCTCTTGGCCGACCCCGACGTATGGGGGAGTCATCGACCCCACTCGCCCATGGATCGCTCGATCCAGGATCGCCGATGAGGATCGGATGGTCCCAGCCCGCCCAGGGAGGTGCAATTTCGCAGTCGGGACCCTGTCGCCGATCTATCGGCGATGTATCGCGGACTCCAGGTTCGGGGAAACGTAAGACTTCGAGTAAGCGGGAACTCGGACTTGCCGACGTTTTTGACGAACGCGTCCTGGATTTCGACGGTCCAGTTTTTGTGGGATGTCTGCAGCGGGAGCTCGCGTGAAATTTCATATTGGGCCTCGTCATTTTTATGATGGCCCCGTCGGGCCAGCCCGAGTCCCCCGTACCCGAGTCTTACGCCTCCCCGACAAGTCGATGTTCCCCGTCTTCTGCCAGTCCCCCTTCTTGTTGCCCCTCAGGTGAAAGACCACGTGCCCTCTGCGAAGGAGGAGCCCGCAAGCGGGGGCGTCCCCCTCCCGAGATCCTGGCGTCTTGATTTTTTGTCCGAGCTGGGCGTCTGCGCGCTGTTTCGGGCCCCGAGAACTTCGCAGATAGGTCAAGTCGGGCATGTCCGTCTACAGAAAGAATTTTCAATATTAGTTGAAACGTAGTCTGGGGACGTTTTTCATACTATTTTTGACGATATGTGCATTTTTGGGGGCTATCTTTCATTTTTCCTCAGAGTCTGACTGTTGGATGACATGCCCGACCTAAAGATAGGTGGGTCGGCTCGAAGCATGGCGCAGAAAAGGTGGGGTCCGGGGTTCAGGTCGTGATGTTCTAGGCCTCCCAGATGGGGTCGGAGTAGATGGGGAGGGGGGATCGCGCCGCATCGGCGATGCGGCTCGATGCGGAGCCTGATTTTCTCCACGCCGACGTCGCCGATGCGTCGCCGACATCGGCGGTGCATCGACGATGCATCGCCGATGCACTGGCGACGCGGCGCGGTTTTCCGACCACATCAGCTCGGACCCCGTCTGTGAGGCCACGAGATGCTGCGCGACGACTGCACAGTGCTGCGAGAGCAAGGTGCCCGCAGGCGAGGCCTGAGGCTCCAGGCTTGCACGGGCGTGCTCGTCGGACCTCGGCGGTGTGCCAGCCTCGGGATGGTGATCGTTTTCCGCTCCTCCACACGAGCGGGGGCGGGCGGTGCTAGAAGTGGTCTTGGCCCATGGTGTCCCCAGCTTTGCGCTCCATTTCCGTAGCCCCGAGGGCTCTCCGTGCCTCGTGGGGGGGTGTTCTGGAGGGTCCAGAGCCGGTGGGCGGCGAGCACCCGCATCTGCGGCCTCGCGGGCTGGGCCCCCGGGCCGCGGCCCCTACGGAAACGCGGTGTTTTTTGTGATCGTTTGTTACCTAACAGCGAAGACTGATAGGTTTCTAGTAGGGTCAAAAGAGAGCATCATGACGCCGCATGACGCCCCAGGGGGCTCTGGGCGCGATCCGGGGGAGGATGCCGGGGGGATGCCGGGGAACTCGTTTTCAGCAAACAGTGACGCACTTCGTCGTCTTCGAGTTCCCAGAACTTCATTCCTGGGCATGATTTTGAATGCCCGGAGCCAACTGTAGGCCACTTCGTGGTCTTCGAGTTCCCAGAACTCCAATCCTGGGCATGATTTTGAATGCTGAGGCAGGCTGATGCTGAGGCTGAGGCAGGCTGAGGCTGAGGCAGGCTGAGGCTGAGGCCGAGGCTGAAGGCAGACTGAGGCTGAGGCTGAAGCAGGCTGAGGCTGAGGCTGAGGCAGGCTGAGGCTGAGGCAGGCTGAGGCTGAGGCTGAGGCTGAGGCTGATGCAGGCTGAGGCAAAGGCAGGCTGAGGCCGAGGCTGAAGGCTGAGGCTGAGGCTGAAGCAGGCTGAGGCTGAGGCTGAGGCTGAGGCAGGCTGAGGCTGAGGCTGAGGCAGCCTGATGCTGCAGGCTGAGGCTGAGGCCGAGGCTGAAGGCAGACTGAGGCTGAGGCTGAAGCAGGCTGAGGCTGAGGCTGAGGCAGGCTGAGGCTGAGGCTGAGGCAGGCTGATGCTGAGGCAGGCTGAGGCTGAGGCTGAGGCTGATGCAGGCTGAGGCTGAGGCAGGCTGAGGCTGACGCCGAGGCTGAAGGCAGACTGAGGCTGAGGCTGAAGCAGGCTGAGGCTGAGGCTGAGGCAGGCTGAGGCTGAGGCTGAGGCTGAGGCTGAGGCTGAGGCTGAGGCTGAGGCTGAGGCAGGCTGATGCTGAGGCAGGCTGAGGCTGAGGCTGAGGCTGATGCAGGCTGAGGCTGAGGCAGGCTGAGGCTGAGGCCGAGGCTGAAGGCAGACTGAGGCTGAGGCTGAAGCAGGCTGAGGCTGAGGCTGAGGCAGGCTGAGGCTGAGGCAGGCTGAGGCTGAGGCTGAGGCTGAGGCAGGCTCAGGCTGAGGCAGGCTGAGGCTGAGGCCGAGGCTGAAGGCCGAGGCTGAGGCTGAGGCTGAAGCAGGCTGAGGCTGAGGCTGAGGCGGCAGGCTGAGGCTGAGGCTGAGGCTGAGGCAGGCTGGTGCTGAGGCAGGCTGAGGCTGAGGCTGAGGCTGGCTGAGGCTGAGGCTGAGGCAGGCTGAGGCTGAGGCCGAGGCCGACGGCAGACTGAGGCTGAGGCTGAAGCAGGCTGAGGCTGAGCCTGATGCAGGCTGAGGCTGAGGCTGAGGCAGGCTGATGCTGAGGCAGGCTGAGGCTGAGGCTGAGACTGAGGCTGATGCAGGGTGAGGCTGAGGCTGAGGCTGAGGCCGAGGCTGAGGCTGAAGGCAGACTGATGCTGAGGCTGAAGCAGGCTGAGGCTGAAGCAGGCTGGGGCTGAGGCTGAGGCAGGCTGAGGCTGAGGCAGGCTGAGGCTGAGGCTGAGGCAGGCTGAGGCTGAGGCGGTGACTGCGACTGCCGTCGCCACTGCGACTGTCATCGCGAATGCGACTACGACTGCGAGAACAGCAGAATTCTACAATTGGATTCTCGTCTGAATCTTAAGGGGAATGCTCCCAGATATGCTCCTACACATCGCTGTTAGGTTGCTTTGCCGGGATAACTTCATTCATTGTTTTGCCGATTGGCGGGGGCCCCCAAACACCCCCCCCTCCCCCCCCTCCACTAATTATGGAGTAGCTCTTGGCTGTTTTTGGCCCCTGCTTCGAGCGGGTGGAGTCTCCCCCAGAGGCCGCACTCTTTCAAACAGGTGCACTAAGCAGAGGTCTGGAGCCAGGCCCCCCCCTCCCCCCCCTGCCGCCCAATGTCGAAACGCCGGATTAAAAAACGCTCACCTTCGCGGATGTCCCGCGCGGAGCCTATCCGTGCGACCCCGTGTCCGCGGGATCGCGCCTCGGCATCCAGGCCGAGAGGGCGTGGATATGTATACGTTCGTCGCTCGTGGCAGAGGGTCACCAGCAGTGTGTGCATAGCATGGCTCAGGCCATGAGATCTCCCAGGTTCCATGGCCCCCCGTTCTTCTCTTAGTTGCATCCCCTGGCCCCCCACTCTCCCGCGCACGCGCCGCGGGCCGTGATGCGCGCACCCCGCCTCTTCCAGGCACCCCTCTTCGGCGCACCCGGCACAAGGGGGCGATGATGATGATGATGAGGAGGAGGAGGAGGAGGAGGAGGAGGAGGAGGAGTAGGAGGAGGAGTAGGAGGAGGAGGAGGAGGAGGAGGAGGAGGAGGAGGAGTAGGAGGAGGAGGAGGAGGAGGAGGAGGAGGAGGACCAGGAGGGAGGACGAGGAAGCGAGAGGAAGGGATGACGGCGGTGGAGGGCTGCTGTAGGGGGCCTTCAACGTTCAATGGGGCCCTTCAAGGTCTCACTGCTGCCCAGAGGGGGAGCGACGAAACCCTCTGGCGTTGTCGGAGGCGCGGAGAGGCGGCCTGGCCCCTTCTGGCCTGCTGGAGGGCCTCTTGGAACCCGCTTGGGGTGTACCGGTGGCCTCTTGGGCCATCTCGGGGCTGCTCAGGCCTGCCCGACGCCTTCGGGAGCCGCCCTCGGGTCTGCCGAAGCGGCCCGCCCGCTCGCCCTTTCCCTCCCCCCTGTCTGGCGCGCCGCCGAGCAGCTCGCGGGAGAGGCGCGAGGGCCGCGATGTGTCCGAGCCCGTGCCGTGTCGAGCGGCGAGGTGTTCCCTCGGGACGAGCGGCGCGGGCCGACCGCCAGACAGCAAGGAGGAGGAGGAGGAGGAGGAGGAGGAGGAGGAGGAGGAGGAGGAGGACGAGGAGGAGGAGGAGGAGGAGGAGGAGGAGGACGAGGAAGAGGAGGAGGAGGAGGAGGAGGAGGAGGAGGAGGAGGAGGAGGAGGAGGAAGCCATTGGCCGAGGAGGGGCCAGCCGCGCCAGGGGTCGTCGCCGTCGCCCAGTCGACCGCCCCCCCCAGCGCGGCCCGCCCATCGGCCAGGGCGCAGCGCGCCATCCGCGGCGAGGTGGCCGCGCGCCTTGCGCTTTCTGCGCCACAGGAGCGCCTTCGGCGCCTCAGGAAGAAAGGATTCCTGCCACAGAGCCCTCGTGGCACAGGAGGGAGAGAGAGAAGAGGGCAGCCGCCCGTGTTCTCCTGAGGATATCGTCGGCCAAGGAGTTACTGAACGCCCACCGCAGTGTTCAACAGGAGGAAAGAACGATGGTTTCGAAAGGGCAGGGAACAAGTGGAAGCTACAGGGGGGGGGCAGGCGCCAAGGTGGACGTGCCGAGGGGTCCACGGCGATAGGCCCCCCCGTAGGGGGGGAACCCTGGCCATGGAGGAGTGCATCGAGGGCAAAAAGCAAGTGCGGCGGTTACCACTCCCAGGACAACACAGGGCAAGAGAGGCTCAGCGAAACGATCGGCTTCAAGAAAGGCCAGGTCTGCATCCAGAGGACGCCAAGCCAACAGCAGAAGTAGCCAACAAGATACCACACAGGCGATCCAGATGCAGGACTTCGTCTACACGAAGAAGCAGCAGGACATCATCGACGAGTTCATCCCGAGCACGGAGGTGAGGGCGGTCAACCACGAGGCCTTCTTCTACCCCCGTTCACGAGACGGAGATCCGCCGTATGTGGAAGCATACCAAGGCGGCGCGACTCGGACGGCTCGCTGATCAGCTCGATGGAGCTCGACAGGCAGGAGTGGATGCCGGACGACTCATTGATGAGTTGGAAATTCCAAAATGTATGATCATTCTGACCTTCGAGCCGAACGAGAGGATCAATATCTACAGAGAGGACCTGGACGTGGTCAACAACAAGAAGAGGAAAACGATCGCAGAACAAGTCAAATAATGGAATGATCAACTGGAAAAGTCCGACGTGGAAGCAGTCACGATCAAGGCTCTAATCGCGTAAGCAAAAGGTCAGCGAGGTATTCGCGAACGATTTGAAGCAGGAACTGAAAGCTCAAGCTGCGAAGGAGACGGAGAAGATACATCGGACGAAAGATGGGGCGACAAGAGACCCGCGACGAGACGCCACATCCACGTCGGCAGGAAGCACAACGTTGCCAAGCGGACGAT